AGGACCTACGCCGGCGTGCTGTGGTAACGGCCGTCTTCTTAAAGCTCCTTTATAGCGCTCATGAACTCCCTCCTGCAACATCACAGTACATGAATGTGTGCATGCATCCCACTGGTCTGATAAACAATAAACATGTAGTAGAAAATAAACTGTGCTTGTTTAATTGGGGAAGGAGGGATCGCAGCTGTGACCAATGAGAAACTCCTGCGCGGGATCAAGTCACATAGAATCAGCTCTTTTATTAAGTACAGCAAGTTGAGGCATTTGCACAGGAAATCAACATCTGTTGAACACATAATACAGGGTGGTAATAATATGCATAAAGTACCAGGAACATACTCGTATGCAAGTGTCTTTAGTGTTCTTTCAGTGAGCTCTCATACGGAGCCGGATACAGTGTAAAGTCTACATTTCGCATTAGTCACAACTTATATACTCATTGCTTTCATTGCTCCACTGTCAGAACGAGCTGGAGGTCCTGGATAAAACAAGTGTCTCCATTTGTCCTTCGGGAATGGGCACAGTGTAAACAGGCAGTCATTAGTTCTGCATGGAATGGTCGCAGGTAAACCACAGCTCCTTCTCCTCGATCCTTAAAGCGCTCTGACATTTCTGAAGCCTGCTGCACTCGCCGTCTGAGCCGCAGTCTGCCGCCGGAAGCTCCAGCCCTCCGTGGTCATTATCCATCAAAGAAAACAAAGGTCAAAGTGCACAGGAGTAGGGGACCGGAGCAGGACGAGAGGGATAAGTGGCTCTTCCTCAGCAGGTAGGAGGGGACGTATACTGATTGATGAGACCTCTACACAGATTCTGCAGACTGTAGAGGGGCGGGGCTTATAGTATCCAGGGATTTGCAAGGGATGAGGCAGGAGTGGAGATACAGCACAGTGCGTAAGCTCAGGTGTAGCGTGGCATCTCGCACTGTTCACAGCGGTTTAGTGCAGGGTGGTTGAGGAAGGTGCAGCTTTCACAGTTCCACTGGGCGCCTTCGAAGTCCTCGTCCGTCTGGGGCACCCGCTTCGAGGCCTGCGTCCCTTCTGACACAAAGAAAGAAGTTCATTCACGTGGTGAAACATGCGCAGCAGTAATGAAAGTCTGCAACTCAGAGCTGCATTAAAACAAATGCAGTTAATCATTCAAGGGTGAAACCTGACAGAAACCTGCATTTACTAAACAGCAGAGCGAACCTTACATCTCTGTCCAAGGTCCTGCTGCAACCAGCAGCTGAGCAGCAGGTGCATCGATGGCCCTGAAGGTTTTTCTCTACATCAGATATTATGATGCTAAATGAAGTGCTTCTCATACAGCTCCTTCCTACTCGACTCATTCCTCTTGTCTACGCTAAACTATCGTTTCATCGAATGTGAGTGAAGCAGCTCTGGGTTCAGTGCTATCAAACTGGAGAAGCTAAGAAACCACCAACTTTAAATTAGTGGATGTCCTGCACTACAGCCACTTCTACTTTTGGGTGGGTAGTGTGGGAAGTGCCGCATGTTTGTTTTGGCCAACTTTAACTCCAGATGCTCGAAAGGGTTTCAGCTGCAGGGCCACCACAGCACCTTAGAAAAGCTACAGAGCATTTTAATTTCACAACAGTGAAATCAGATTTTTATCCACTAAAGTTCAGTTGAGTCTAGGGCTGCCACGATTAGTCGACGACAAATTTAATAGTCGACGACTGATTTAATAGTCGACGCGTCGTTTGAAGCTTTGTAAGATC